CACCCCGGCAGTAAGCGCACGATAGCACTGACTCATCACCGCCCTTCGTCATCACAGCGATCTATCGATGCGTGTGATGCAATAAAGAAGAATTTGAGAGAGAAATTATTGGATATTATGGTGGGATGAGGAGGAGGAGGAAATGGCAAGAGGAGTGAAATGGGGATGTTCGTATAAGAGAAGCACACTCATTGTTTGTTCTATTAACATTGTTGTTGCTCTCTATGTTCTTCGGTCTCTCTATGCTTCCCTTTATCTTTACTCCAATATTGATTTCAACAAAGGTAAATAAATCTTCTTCTTCTTCTTCTTTTTAAATTTGAATTTTGGAGATATGTACATGTGCATATATATATATTTTTTTTGTGTGAGTTGTAGTTGTAAAGTATACGCCAGATCAGGTTAGGAAAATGGAGGAATCAATTCGGATTCGAAGAGCGAAAGAACCTCTAGAGCTTGTTAAAATTGTAAGCATTTTTATTTTGGGTTTTTAGTTATTGTGTGATTAATTTGAGTTTTAGATTCCTTAATTCGATGTTGGAAGTTTAATTTAATGAAGTTTTTTTTTGGTTGAGAAAAGGTGAAGGAAGTCAAGGAGGAATTTAACAGAGGAGAAATGGTGGCTGGATTGCCAAAACAGGTTACGGCCAGGATAACTGATGAGATTCTGCAGAGATTGAGAAGCTTGAATGCAAATGCTAATATCAGTGAGCAGAGAGGTAGGTTTATCTTTCAATTCTGTGTCGTTTCGTTATACAATTGCCTATGTTATGAAAGATTGGTCAATGCAATTAGGATAGGCATGGACACTTGGTTTGTTGGGTTCTTGAATGCTCAGCTGATTTTAAGTATATTATTCATCAAAGAACAACTTATTTGGTTTAAGTCGTGGGAGGCTTAGAGAAATAGAAAACATTCTTCTTCTTTTTCTGTGTTCGCTCGCTGGATTGGTGAATGATAAAGTGTGGTGTTTCATCCTTGTTGTTTGCTCTTTCTATACATGTTATGCTTGACTGCATTATGTATAACTGAACCAAAGATGAGCGATGTAATATATTGAACCTTAGTTTTTGTCAGGGGCCTATGCCCCCCCTACCCTATATTTGTATCACATGCTGGAAAATGAACGAGAGCAGGCATTCCTTTTTCTGTAATAGGATGCCGTTTTGAATTTTGATTTCAAGCACATTCTATTACTGTTGTATAAGGAGTGTAGAATTCAATGGAATTCATTATCACCATGACGCACGCCCGCGCATGCGCTTGCTTCTTCAATTTTCTTGCCATATCTACCTCCAACTCTTCTCTATATGTTATCAAGTCACAGCTACATTTGTTTGCTTTCATGACACATTGCAATTTCCCCACCTTTTGCACTAATATTAACATCACCAGCACCTGATGCTTGCGCCATACTCACCTTCATGCAATGAACCCACCACCTCTATCATTAGCTCCATGCCACTACTGACATTTTTACTGACTGTGATCTCATACTTGTCATCATAATTGGTGCTACCATAGCTTTTCCATGTCGCATTTATCTCACCATTGCAAGCTTTATGACCTCTATTTGCATTATTACCATGCTGCCCTTCTTGATGATTTAAGGATTTATGGCCTTGGTTTTGCTATCACCAGCATCCTCATATAGCTCTTTTTTTCCTACTTCAGCTCCAAACTACTATGTTGTGAATGCTTACATAATTTGTGGCTAATTTGTTTCATGTGTCCGTCAAATAGCCAACTGGAAAAGTAAACTCCTTCTCATAAAATGCTGTACATTGTTTGTTAGCTATAAAATTTTCATAATCAATCAGATATTGTTTGGTATGAAATTAAACTGAACATCCGATTCATTTTTATTTATTTCAAATAAAAAAATTGATAATGCATTGATATTGTGGTATTTTAGTGTTGATGTTATGCTTTGAATCTTGTTCTCAAGGTTCTGTTTGCAACCTTGCTCATCATGCACTCTATGATTTCATGTATAAAGAAAGAAGGAATCTATAATGGAGCTGCATGATATTTGTGGGGATAGTCTGTTATACCTCCTTTTATTTTATCACCTTCATGGTTAGCTTGGAAATTGGATTAAAAGAACGAAGCTTTTTCAGAAGCTACTATGTGGAATTTCCATTTTGTTAACTGATATTATTTGATAGAGAGCATCTTTGGCATGGAAAATTTCAGCCATTCTTTGTTCTGAAAGCTGTGAAAGTTTCCTTCTATTTCTTAATCTATGCCATATTTAATCTCCCCGTCTTAGAATTTATCTAAAAGCATTCTTTGGAAGTTGATAAATTTTTTCATTGATGAACACTTCTCTACTCTTGATATGGTGACCTCATACCTCGGGAAGGTCTATGTGTACTGTCTGGGTTATTTTGGACTGGCATCGTCTTCTTGAACAGTTACTAATTTACTCAGGTGATAACATCCCAGTCCTGGTTGTTTGAGAATTTGATTACTGCTTTTTAATTGTATTTCTGGTCTCATTTTCAGCATTTCACAATTTTTAGCAACATTAGAAGTATTATCTCCAGAAAGTGATCACTTTCTTGTCTACCATGGGTCATCTAAGCAATGTGCAAGGATATGAATAGGCCATTTAACATGGTAGCTATGACTTTTGACCTTGTGGACGTTGGTATCTTGCCACTTATCTTTGTTCCGCTCTTCTTTTAATAAACAGATGCCATTGAAAGCTGGCGCAAAGAAAAACTGCAAGAGGTCAAACAGTTGGTCCATGGAACAGGGGGGCTGAACTCATCTATTCTGAAACAGGAAGCTGGTATGCTTTTGTCCTTGGAAGGGTGTGGTTTTATTGCAGTTAAATTTCTTTTATGCCCTCAAGGACCATTCATATTTTTGTCTGTAGGAAGCACTATGAATGCTTGTTTTCCAGACCCTGCTCCTTTCTCTTACGACTGAATGTACTGTAGGTATGCTAGAAAGAGCCCTGGAGTCTGATTGGGCTGTGCTGTCAGAAAACGTTGGCCTTTGGGTACCTGCTGAAATAATTCACCAGGAACACAATGATAAGCCTGAGGGTGAAGAAGATCCTGGTAATTAAACTGAGGTTTCTTTTGGTAAAAAAATTATAATTTAATGTTGCTAGTGTCTCCTCCAGAGCAGAAACAAGTTTATTGGAACCTGCATTCAATTTGAACCCACTGCTGATATCAGCTACCACCCCAACTCCCCTTTTATTTGAAACAAGAAAACATTACGAAGTTCATCTCCCATTTAGGCATTTACTGATGAAACAAGTTTATGTATGCTTGCCTTTTTATTATTTTTTTTTTTACAGAGGAAGAGGTTCTGCCTGGCAGGCCGTTGTCACCCGAATGCCATGCCGAGCTTCATACTGATTATGGTGGTGTTGCTGTTAGATGGGGCCTTACCCACCATAAGGAAAGTGCAGCTGACTGCTGTCAAGCTTGCTTAGATCAGGCAAAATATGCTAAGCATGGAGAAAAGAAATGCAACATATGGGTCTATTGCCCATCAGAGACGGGGTGCTATTCACCAGATATCTATCAACATAAAAATCAGGAGTGCTGGCTAAAACATGTAAGAATTAGCTAACTGTTTCATCATGAGCCAATTTTCATCAGGAATCTAATGATGACGTTTTTTTATATGAAATTGCAGGCCGAAAAGCCTAAACTGAATTTCAAGGATAAGTATTCTGACTCATTTAGAGATTCCCACCCAAGTGCGCCATTGATTGTTCCCTGGGTTTCTGGTGTTGTTAGTGCGTGATTGGATGTTACAACCCAAATAGGTCGATGTTAAGCTGCTTGAGCTGCAGTCTATCGTCCTGTCACAGCGCTAAAAAGATGTGAAGCTGCCGCTGCTGATATCTTTGATTAGGCACTCCTTACACCCAGATCTGGTGAATTTTGATTTTATTTGTTCTACTTTTATTTTTTGGAAAAGAGAAAATGGCGAGGATTATGATCCTTCGTTTAAATGCCAGAACCATTTTGTAACATGGGGTGCAATGGTCCTGGCGCTGATGATTTGAAAGCTAGGATCCGGTGCCCGGGCAAGGCAGCCTCTTTTACAGTTGGACATCAACAACTTCCATTTTGGACATTAGCCTTAGAAGATTGGTTCGGTTGTTTGTAAAAGGGATGGAAAAATTGAGTTATTGAAATGGGATGCGAATTTGCAACCCATCGCGTACTATTGGATTAGCCTCTTGTACACGCACGAGTGGAGCCATGGATTAGAGTCTGGTTTCTCTGTGGTCTCGTATCCCTGCTTCTTTTAGTCACCTATGGCCTCACTGGCTCACTTCAACCGGGGGGGTGCGGGTTCTGGATTGGACTTCATGTGCAGTGCATCTTGCCATTTTCTTGGTTTATAGTTGCGAATCATTTCATGCTGTCCAACTCACAGGGGGGACTTACCTTGGAGCGAGGAGATTACTCATTCGACACTGCATAATTTTTTATAGTTACGGGTTTGAAAAGGTAAATTTGAAAAAAAAACTATAAATTTTAATGTTTTTATAATTAAAATTTCAAGAGAATTTTCTTTGAATAAAATTACTAGCAGGTTCCATGGATTTAATAGCTGTGATTTTTTAACCAGTAATTTGCAGGTTACATGGATTTAATAGTTGTTGAATTTAGGGAAAAATATTCTATAAAATCAGAAGTGGGTTCAAGGCTGAGTTTTAAGTTAATTTGAATGAGATATTTATTTGATAAAACTTGATTAGATTTTTAGTAGTTCGATTCATCTAGTCCTGGTCAATACTTTAAAAAATATATAAAAATATAATCCTATAAAATAATATAACCTTTTTTTAATTAAAAATAATTGTCCCAATAACCAAGTTGTTTTCTTGGGGCAGTCCTTACCGAGGAAATGTAATACTCAAGTGCATCAAATTGTCGGGCCGAGCTTAAGTTGGATTAGCCCACATGGATTAAACCAATGAAACAAAACAATAAATAAACCTGCCGAGCCCATTATAAATCTCCCAGATTCCCACCGCGACATCCGCACTGTGGAAAACGAAATTGCCTGCTCGAAAACGACGTCGTGCTTCAAACCGCTCATGTGCAAATATGGAGGCAACGAAGAAGAAGCAATCCAATCTGTGACGATTAGCGGCGGCCAGGGTTTTGAAATCAAATCAGAGCATAAGAAATTGGTACGGGTTCTTTCTCCACTTTGCCTTCTCTCATGATCGGTATCTTTTATTTCTACATGCTAGGGTTTTTCATTTTTCCTTCAATTTATATTTTCGATTGTTTAATTAATTAAATCTCTTGTTTTTTGTTAATCTTATTTACCGAAAAATAACTAGAAGACCGAAGGTTATGAATTCAAGCATGTTGTTGTTTTAGCAGTAGACTTGACTATTTTCTTAAAAAAAAACCTGCAGGGAGCAAGGTCTTTTGTTTTCTGTTTTTGAAACCAGAGTGTTCAACTTGAATTCAATAGATATATAAGTTGAATTCATATGTTTAGAAAAAAAATTAAATTAAATTCATTTTATTTCTTATTTATCATCGCCACCTTCATTTCTATCAAAGATCTCTAAAAAATATTGATTCTGGGGAAACTAGTTTTAATATTAATTTCTCCTGCTTAGTTTAGTGCAGTAAGTCAGAGTGTTTGGCCTGTGATTTACTTTTGTATTATTCTTAAGAGACTGAATTCCATTTGAATTGAATTGAATTCAGAAGATTCAAACAGCCTGTTACTAACCGCTACTTTGGAAACTAGAGGATTGAATTCTTAAAGTAAGATGCTCTATTACTAACAGAGTAGGTTTTATTTATTAGATCCATATACTGCCTCCCAATATTTTCCATAATAATGTTGAGATTACCAACAAATTTGCTAATGTTATGTATTTGGGTGTTTTTTCTTTGCATTGAATCTCAATAGATGACTCGTGTTAAATCATCTTTGCAGCTTGTAGCATTTTGGATCGCGTAAATAGCAGTATTGAACCATGCTTCATTGGAAGAATTCAACCCGAGAAACCTACTATGATGTTTTGTCTGTAAAAGAAGATGCTAGTTATGTAGAAATCCGGACAAGCTACCGATCTGCCATACTCAATTATCATCCTGATAAATTGCAAAATACATGTCAGGCATCTGATCCTGAAGATGAATCGGAAGATAGATTTATGAAGGTGCAGAAGGCTTGGGAAATCCTTGGGAACTCCATTTCTCGCGCAGTTTATGATAGCAAGCTGCGAGCTTTGAGGCAAGACACTGAAGTTTCAGAAGATATCAGTTTAGAGGAAATGATGGTTGAAGACAATGGAGAAATCTTTGAGATGTTTTACCAGTGCCAATGTGGTGATTATTTTTCCATTGATTCATCGGAGTTTGAGAAAATGGGATACACATTATCGAGGGATGAGAGCCAGATATCAATCGAGAAACCCGATGCTTTACCAGCATCAGTTGTTCTTCCTTGTGGTTCTTGTTCACTACAAGTTCGTCTTTTGATTAATGCAGGCATTAAGGTACCGATCGGTGATAATTTGTAATATGTCTCGCGGTAGATATTCTTTGGCTGATGGTTCATCCCTTGGTCTGATTTTGCATGATTGTTGCAAGAAACACAGGAAAATTCAAATCCTCTCGATGATATTCCTCCATTTTTGTTCCCTTGTAAGCTAAATGCTCGAGAAGGAAAGAATGTGCAAGTGACGAAGTGGACATTTACAGACAGGAACGTGGTCATGTTTGATGACATGAATTGCATTCGCTTGTTAACTGAGAAGTTAAAGTGGAAGTTCTGCAGCATGCTGATGTCACCTCCTGATACCAATAAGGGTGAAACTTGAGAAGAAACTAATTGACGAGAAGTGTTTAGAAATAGAGAGTAATGCTTCGATTTTCTGAAACAAAAATTGAAGTCAAGAAAAAGAAAATCTGAATGTGATGTTTTTCTATCTAGAAAATTGAAAAATTAGTGTTGAGTTCAATAAAAAATTTGAGAGTATTTCTATAAGTTTTTCAACAGTATACTTTTGTTATCTACAAGTAATTTTTAGCTAGATGAAAGAATAAAATTATTTTTTTGTATCTTTATATTTAGTTAATGTCACAAATTTAATTTTTGCTATAAATTGAAAATATATATTTTTCTTATTTAACAAAATGATTTTTTCTTAATTTAAATAAAGTAAAATAAAAATTCTATAATTAGATCATCACCAATATAAAATATTAAGATAACTATCATAAATAAATAAAAAATTAATATAAAAAAAGGTTTTAATCTTCATGAATTTCTTGGTTTTTCGATGAAAAAAGGTGTCTCCGTTCTCAACGAATAAACAAATTTTCATTTTTTTATTGAAAAAAGATTAAGAAAAGAAAAAAACAGTGTCACTAAAAACTCCCTAAAAAACTCCTCCTTTTACTATTGGAGCAGGGAAGTAAAATTTTAAACCAAATCCAAGACAGGATGAGCACCCTCTTTGGATTCTGACCTTGTGGGCTGTGCTCCACTGTACGAAGAATAAGGCCTTATGGGTTGCAATCAAAGAAGGCAATCCATCAAGAAACTCCAACGAAATGACGAAAACATAAAGCCGGCAAGCAATGAAAATTTACAGATTGATTTGATCCAAAATCCATTCGATGTGTTCCGGAGAAGGGAGAGCTCACTGGAGCGTATTTGAGGGAGTGAGAAGCATGGCCTCATCAACCCCAGAAACTCTCATGGCTGAAATCGACACTGCTATCAGCAAATTGGAATACAGCCGCGCCACTGCACTTCTAGACTCTCCCTCACCAACACCCACCAACACATCAAAGACTAGCATGAGCTCCGATTCAGGTGCCAATCCTCAATACGATGCGAAAATGGCAGATGGGGCTTACAGGGCAGGTTGTGCATCCTTGGCTGCAGGGAAACTTGATGAGGCTCTTCAATATTTGAACGTCTCTCTCTCGAAATGTCCTCCTGATAAAACCTCTGCTGTTGCCAAGCTTCAGTCTCTTATTTCTCTTACTTCACAGCAACTCCAGAAATTGCCCACCTGACTCCTTCATTTTTGGTAGGCTTTACTTCTTTGAATACCCTTTGATTTTGCTACAATTTGATGATCGGTGGTGAAGTATTTTAATAGTCTTGATCTGCTATTCTTCCTTCAATTCTTCTTAATTCATGTGTTTTATTGCTTCAAATATTCTCTCTTAGAGGTCAGCTCAGCTCTTTTGGCCCTATTTTTTTCTTATATTTATTATTTATTTTGCAATAAAAGAGATGAAACAAATCACAACATGGGGTCATGCTAAGGCGAAGTAATTTTGACTTTCGAGTGTCAAAATGATGAGGTTGCATGACCTTTTTTGGGAGGCCAGTTTGGAACAAAATTGTTCTTGACACTAAAGATTTTTCTGGTTTTGAGGTTAAGGTTGTGTTTACTTTCCTTTAGTTCGAAATAAACTCATAAGAACTAACTATAATAACTTTTGTGGGCATTAGAAACCAATGGGTTTTGAATCACTAGTGCCTATTTACACTTGGAAACATTCTCTAACTGCCTTTTCCTTTCTTAGCTTGGTATTTGGAGCAGTTTGCTGTGTGAATGCTTTCCCAACTTCTCGTACAATTATTTGGCTTAATCTACTTGGTGATGTGGGAACAAGAGGTAGAGAACAGAGGAAATGGGAGTTGCAGCGAGCCATCAACGTTTCCAATAGTTGAGTGTGATCTTTATCAATGCAGTGTGTGCCGTGTTCTTCTCACTTGCTTTTAGCTTATTAGTGGTTTCGACGTGAGAATCAGACATTGAGTTAACTTTGGAATTGTTCTGTATATGGAACTTAAATGAAATGATGGATCCATTTGGATGTATAGTTTTGTATCGTGGTCATGAGTCTATATCATTTAATATTTGTTGTGATGTATCATTGCTAGCAGCTGTCTGTTGTAAAATTCCTTTATACCCAAATCTTTTGTGTTGAGATATGTATTTTCTACCACCTTCAGTAGAGATGTTTTCATTTGCACAGTGAAATTGTATGTCTGAGTATGTTTCAATGTTTTTTTTTTTGCAAGGAGTATTAATAATGAACGTAAGCAAGTGAAGGAACCAGTCTTACTGGAACTTTCAGATGCAACCCGAGTTGATTTTTTTGTGAGTGAACAATCATCAATATTTAATCACACCAAAAAGAAAATCATCTCTGATGTAGGCGTAGGTAGCAACATCAGGTGGATTTTCCTTCTATTCACTGCTAAAAGATGGTAAGATGTGCGTTTCGGATGGTTTGTGTGGAGGTTGAAAGATGACAGTTTTCTTTTCTTCTTTTTTTGGTGGCATCTACCCTAGTTTATACATTTTACAACTTTGTTTGTCAATTCAAGTACTTTGCTCTATTGCTTTGTGGTTGCCCTTCTTATGATCCCACATTAGCTCAACTTTTTCTCTGATGTAGATGTAGCAGCATGAGACAGATTTTTAATTTTTATCATGCTGAAAGTAGGTAAAATGTGCTCTTTGGAGGGTAACGATGATATTCTGCTGGTGGCCAGCCTCTACATTTTACTATTCAGTTTGTCAACTCAATTGCTTTGCTTTTTTCTTTTTTCTTCTTTTTGATAATGGACTGCTTTGCTCTTTACATAGCCATGAGTTGCCCTCGATGGAGTGGATATGATCACATATCAATTCTGTAGCTCTGTCAACTCAGTGACAAATCTAGGCCTGGTTAGGTTGCCTGCGATGAACGTGTCATTATCAGTAAACAGCTTGGATTAGCAATAGCTTATCCTGGATTTAGTCCTAGTGTGTTTTATTTCTGGGCTGGCTGTGGATAAAGATTGCAGACAGACTCCATATATTTTCAGGAACATTTTGTAACGGATTGAATGCGTAAAACCTAGATTGGATCTGATCCAATCCAAGGCCTAAAACTATCGGGTTAATCCAAATGATGATATTGTTGTGAATAAAAATTAAAATAACTACAATAATATTACTTGTGAATTTTTATTTTTTTTTATTAGAGTTGACTTAACAAATCTCATGTTCATGTTTCGAAATGAATCCCAATCCTGATCGGGATTAATAAATATTATATCAACTGCTTTCATGTAGCAGCTAATTAGATTTTATATGTCTAGTCACATAGCAATCAATTAATACAGAAATGGGATCAAAATCAGTGGTCATGCTCTCTTCTTAGTTTCTGTGACACTAAAATAAATTGAAAGGACGTTTCTGGTTGCCTTTAATAAGTTATACGGCGGTGCACCATTCTCAAGTCGTATAAAATAAAAAGCATTCAAAGTTGGGTATCATGTCTCTCTTCACTGTAACTTCTGCTTAAAGTGATTTCTCGAGAAAGACAATTAACACTCGTTTAAGACATCCACATGAATTGACAATCGAGGGTCCCCATAAGGATTTTTAGCAGACGAATGGCAACGAGAAACTTAATGGGATTTGTGATTAATTTGTTAATATGTCTTTCTACTTTTTTAACTTAGTCTTCACCCCAAAGGATAGAAAGCCAGTATTGTCAAGAAGATGCAAGGCCACTATCAGTGGAGCAAGTCAATGTGGACATCAACATAAACTCTTGACTTATAAATGTTAGTGCTGTGTATATTTTCTGTACCGTATCATTAAAGTTGGAAATCCAACCAAACTGTCTTCGCCAGGATGAGTGTCTTTTACCATGAAGAGCCACCAAATCATTCTAAGAAGAGCAAATTCCTTGCTGCAACTTTAAAGGATGTGTTTTCGAATTGCAGCGCTTGTGGTGGACAGATTTCAACTCCAGGCCCGGAGGAAGAGCATCTAACTACCGACGTTGATGATGACCAGGAAGTACTCACGTTTTCATAATCACAAATTTCATGTTTTAACTTCCTATCTTCCTTGTTAATCTAAGTGTTTGCCTTATTCAGATTATTGTTTCAGAAATTCGAAGCCGGGCAATGGAGAAGTTGAGGCACAAACCCTTTGTTTTCACTGACAGCTTTTCCTGGGTATACTCTCCGATGACAGGAGAATTGTTTGTAACTCCGAAGGCTGTTCAACAAAAGGAGGATGATGACAGCAGCGAGGATGAAAATGATGATGCAAGAGAGGAATTTTTCTCTGTAGGGAGTTGTTTATCCTGTTGTTCAAGTGCTTTGAGCAGGGAAGTATTTGTTTCTGCCAAGACAATCTCCTCTCCATGTTCAAGCCTCAACGGGTTTGAGTTTCCAGATTTTCCAAAGCGTTCGATACTACAGGAGTTCTGCTGTCACTGTCAGGGATGGCCATTTGGTCTATGCAGGAAGGCTGTGTTACTTCCACCTTTGCCCAAATCCCCTTCTGAATCTTGGTCCTGGCGCAAGAGTGCAAGGATTGTCAAGATAGCTTAAGAGTTGGGAGCATCCTTCATCCTATTTTCGGGCTTGTTGGTAATGGAAAGCACGCATGCAAATCAAGATTAAATAGTAAATAATAAGATATCGGTTACGAGAAACCCTCTGTATGCCCCTCTACATTATTAATTCACTTGACAGTGTTGAGTGTGGAGTGAATTTAGTATGCAGTGAATTAATTCACTCTGCATACTTGGTAATGAGATAGGCTATGAAAAACAGTAATTTTTTGTTTTTGCAAAATCGATGGTGTGAACTCAATTTTTAGCAGGATTTATCTCTAAAATCTGCATTTAAATATTTAACTAATTGTGGTCGGAACAAAACACAGTTTCAACCACGAGCTGGTGATTGCCTAACTCACGAGTCATGCTCTCATTCGCTGTGTCGAAGTTTATGAGATTGGTAAAAACTACCTAACCTATCAGCAAGAGAAACAAATAACATCTTCTCTTTTAAATGATACCCCCATGGCGAGCTTGCTGATGGCTCAAACCCAAAAACCAGCCCTCTTCTTAACAGAAGGAAGAGCTAGGCAGTTCAATCGTATTCATCTGCATCTGCAGAAATCCGAGAAGAAAAAACCAAAGTTGTCATGCCAATAATAACTAGATCAATTCCTATCTTGGAGAAAAAAACTTTACAACAGATTTGAGTCCAAAAGTATCAATCACAAATATGCTGTCAACAAAATCTGATTCTGAGTTGTTTTATATCAATAAGAATTATATTCGTTGTAGAGAGCTGTCAAGCAAGCAACATCCAGCCACTTCACTTGTCATTTTACACCACTGATCTTCATGTCGGTGAGTAAATTATAGCCACCCAGTTAAAGAGATAATCGAACCAGTTAAAAGTTCAAACCAAGGGAAAAACTCACACTTATTTACGTGCCCATGGCCAAACCATTGCAACAGCACCTTATTTTGAAAGAGAGAGTAAATAACCATCACAAGGAAGGAAATTTGTAAGACGAAACTTAACAACTGGAGGAAACAACAGCTTTAAATTGTCAACATAGATAAGCTATTATTTAACAACCAAGAACTTCAACTTGGAAGATTTTTTTCAGAGGAATACCACATTCTGTCTCCACCTACTCAAAAACATGGTTCAAAATTCTGAAAGCTCAAATCTTTCCAAACTGCAACACTAAGCTCTTTGCTCAACATAAGAGCCAGCAAGCCCAGAAGTGCCAAGAACCGTAACCTGCATCAAAACTTAATAATTTAGGAAGATGGACACCTGACTTTGAATCATTTGTAGGATCACTGCAAATGCAGAAGGAAAAAGCTCAAGGCTGGACATCCTTCGAGTGGCCATCCAACCTTCAAATCCAGGTTGTCCTATGTGGTCAGCACTACTAGGTTATTGCTAGATATACGCTATTTGTCAAGAAAGAAGAAAGGTCAGCTGCATATAACTTGTAAAGATCTTGGATGCTTGGTGCATCTTTATTTTGTGAGATGAACTGGGCCATATTTATAACATATACCCAATATGATGCATTTTGTAGCAGATCATGGACAGATCAAGTGCTGTAAAGTACATGGTTTTGCTAGCATACAATAATATAATTCAGCTAGATCACGCAGCAAAGTTTGTGGCATTCAAAAAAGTGCAACAAGTTTCAGTACCTTCCCCCACTCAGCACCAAGGCCGCAGCATCTCATCTTTAAGTATATCATCCTCGATCCCAACTCTGTCTCTACTTTCTTCCTCAAATAACCTTCACCAGGCCCAAATGAGTCCAAATAGGCAGCATACCGTTGATAAAAAGTACGAATTGCATTAGCATGCAACTCCGGCAGAGGTTTTACATTCTGCAGGATAATATAGCCAGCAAACTGCATGAACTACTGAGATAGCTGAAAGCAAGAAGTCCTGAGAATCCCATAAAAATTTACCTCGCCACTCAATCCAATGATGTCATCAAGTTCCATTTTCAGAGACATGATCTTACCACCAAATTCTTCAACAGCTTCAGCTGCACGGAAAACATTCTTCAGGATCTCCTGGCCAGCCTTGTCATCAGTGTTTTTAGACAATGCTTTCTTTGCATCACTGACAACTGCATTAGGGAGCTCATCCCAATTTGTAGCCATCAAGTCCTTGAAAACATTTAAAATTTCAGGATCTTTAATGTCAGGAGAGTGAGTTACATCCTCGCTAAAAGATCGTGAACTTCCTAGGCTCATCGCAAAAGGAGACCTGAAATCTGCGTTGGTTTGCAACACAAAATACAAGTTCAAAGCATAAACAAAACTATCAAACTAAGAAATCCACCACATCTCACAACGTATTCTACATAAAAAAAATAACGGCAGCATTCAATCTATCCAGATGCATAAACACAGATATGGTAGCATTTGAACCCCAAAGCAAGCTTCTTTTCTTAATCGCGTCAAGGCCCATTACTTCTAGTGTCAAGCATATCTTTTCCAATCCAACATCTACGCGGAAAAATGGCACGGAAAAAAATCCAAAGAAAACAAACCAATAAAAACATGATTTAACACCCTAGCAAAACATTCGTGATTGCTTGAAGTTGTCAATCCACAATTGTGCATCAGCAAATAACATAAAAACAAAGAAGAAAAACAACACACACAACTTGTTAGAACTTCAAGGCTGCACAAGTAGATGTTTCAAAGATAACACCTTTATCTAAGCAGGCTCAAAAACCAATAAAATTAAAGCAGAAACTAATCAAATTCGACCTCAAAAAGAAAACCCCAGAATAAAATACAGTAACACGAAGTACAAATCCATAACTTCAAAAGGAATCTAAAAGAGATGGCAAAAAGAAGTACCGCAAGGGATGCGTTTGGGAGTAGTTGAAACTGAAGGCGCAGAGACGGTGAAAAGAGATCGAGAAGCCAAGTGGTGACGGAGCTGGCTTTGACTAATAGCAGCAGAACGCGATGATCCAAGGCAGGCTGCCCTGTATATAGTTCTCAATGCTCCCATCTTCTCCATTTTTTCTTCGTTTTTGATATCAAGCTCTTCGGTGATTTGCAGTGAGAATTTTTGTTGAGAGGAAAATTTGAAGGCCAAAATGTGAAAAGCACTGAAACTTCGGGCACTTTTTGGGTTTCCTATGGGCTGGGCCCAAATATTTTTGGAATACAATCATGCCCTTTAATCAGATCAAATTACTTTACAATCCGGAGGCGGAGGAGAGACTCAACTACCATTTAGGAGTCAATTATCAATCAGTCCCTCTAATTTATAGTAAAATATTGTAGTCAATTATCAATCAGTCCCTGAATATGTTTTGTTTGGTATTTTATTTCAAAAAAATATCTTTGTTTTCCCCTTCTGATCGATCTTTGTATCTCATTTATTTTTTCACTCTTTTCTATTTCTAGAATAAAAAATAACAAGTAATCGAAAAAATAACATGTAATAAATGAAAATAATAAATGTATTTAAAAATATAAAGATTAAATGTATAATATCTGAAAATATAAAGTAAAATTAATTAATTAATTTTACTAAACTACGAGGACTAATTTATAATTAACTCTACTGTATAACACAAGTTTTCAAAAAATACAAAGATTGGTCATAGCCTCTTCTCAATCTCTCTCCAAATGATGGAGTCAAGCAAACAAGTAGTCATTGAGCTACCAGTGCGTCTCCGGCTTCACAAAGATGGCCATGTAGAGAGACCAAGACCCGAAGATTTTATCCCTCCTTCAACCGATCCCATTACAGGAGTTTCATGGAAAGATGTTGTAGCAGTCCCCGAATCCAACATCACTGCTCGCCGATTGCGAAACCAGCAATTTTTTACTATATAAATTTATAAATTCTTTTAAGTTAAATTATTAATTTATATACATGAATTTTTAAAGTTAGTAATAAAATTTTAATTCAAATATACTATTTAAATTTAAAAAAATAAATTTAAAATTATATAAAATAAAAATAAACTCATTATTAAAGTTACGTCATTCGATATTTTATGAAATATAATTCATCTATAATCGAATCTAAATCGATATTATAATAATCTCTCAACCGGATAAAATAACAATTTTATATCTATAATCGAATCTAAATCGATATTATAATAATCTCTCAACCGGATAAAATAACAGTCTCATATTAACTAAAAAATAAAATAATTAAAAATTTTCACCCTCTCAATTTTTCCTAAAATTTTTCACCCTCTCAATTTTTTCTACCTTCACTTAATTCTTTCTTAGATTAACATTTTATAAGTTTACAAAGTTATTCTTTCACTTTTTTTTTTATGATTTTTTTTTATGTTTTTTCCTTACCTTTTTCTCTTGCTTTTTTTTTTTCCTATTATGCTTTTACTCAGTCAGCAACATATAAAAGGAAAGAAAAACTGATTTATTTTATTTTTTAATGACAAACAATCATTTTACCCTTAATGAGTTGTTTTGCTTTTATTTTATGTTTTTTTTTAGAACTACCAAACTTTGTTCATCCTAAAATTTTAACAAGATTTTATTCAATATATTTTAAAGATCTCTCATAAAATGTCAACTCAATCTAATAGTTGGATTGAAAATTATATCTAATAATGTAAAACTAGTCAAATTATAATTTTTTATCAAATTTCTGAATTTTTTTTTAAATTTTAAAATCCTAACTCAAGCTAAAGTATTATATTAAAAGGCTATACGTAAACTTTTAAAAAAATTTAATACATCAATTGAAAATTATAATTTCTTTTATATAAAATTAATAAAAAAATATTAATAAAATTTTAACCTGAGCTGTATCACGCACCAATCCATACATGCCTCCGCCCTTGCTGCTCGCCTATTCCTACCTAAAATCACAGATCCGAACGAAAAACTTGCCGTCCTTGTTTATTTCCACGGAGGAGCCTTTGTT